TTTAATTTGAATATTGAGAGATATTCTTGAACAATTTGCGCTTGAATAGCGCTTATTCCCTCGAGCCCTTTTATCTCTGTTATTACTTTTAAGTTAGGGAATCGTAACATTAAAATTTTAATTTTAGTAAATTTGTTTACTTTTATTAACAAATATGGATAGGGTCCCAGATACCCGAGTGTATATATTAGGGATAGAAAAAAGTGTGTATAGCTAGAATTAATATTTGTATCTTTGGAAAAAAAACGGACATTACATAAACAATACCGTTTAGTTTTACTTATTTATTAATATTATATCATATCAGTACAAATGAATATTTCGTCACAATCAGATCATCGTCGCAGGGAAATAACATTGCCGCAAAATTGGATTATACCCGAAACAATTCAAAAACGTGCATATCGAAATCCCTGGATAATCGCAACAAAAGCATTAATAAAACCACCAAAAATTTTAAAATCGCCCAATAATTTGGATCCTAATTTTAAAGAAAGAGAAATTCTTCGAGTGACGTATGTAAATTATGCAATATCTGTATTAATTTGAAATACCATTTTAAAATACTATTTCCCCTGTTTCCTCTCCCGGCAGAACCGGAAATTCCGAATATATGGGCACGATCGGGATTGCAGGAGAAAACATCATGTTACGAAGCCGGCCATCAAATATGAGAGATCACGCATCTGGATTGCAAAACTCAAATACGAGATCTTGAATATCTGAATCGGAATGATCACTGATACTGAAACAAAATTTAACTCTTTTTGAAACAATATTCTAAATAATTTTTAAATTACAATTTTACAAGTGAGCTCAGGATTTACATGGCAAGGGAGATTACATGTAAAGTAATGAAAGTATAAATAAAATTTACTCATATGCAAATTGTTGGAAAACAGAATTCATATTATATATATTCATAATTACATTTTCAATTTCAATTTCATGTGATTTTGAAATAAATCAATTAATTACTTCGTATATCATTTATATAACTATATACACATACGTATATA